AGCTATATCTCTACTCCAACTAGAGAAAAATTCCTATATGGTGTGATCCGCCACTCAAATTTGGGCAGACCCCACAAATCCCAAGCTATATCTCTACTCCAACTAGAGAAAAATTCCTATATGGTGTGATCCGCCACTCAAATTTGGGCAGACCCCACAAATCCCAACATACTTCCACTCGCACAAATGAGTGGGTGACATCCAAGCTATATCTCTACTCCAACTAGAGAAAAATTCCTATATGGTGTGATCCGCCACTCAAATTTGGGCAGACCCCACAAATCCCAACATACTTCCACTCGCACAAATGAGTGGGTGACATCCATAGCTCCCTGAGCCTACTCCCTAAGTCGTTGACTCCCTGAGTCAATGTCTCCCTGAGAATATGCTTTCTTTCAAATCCATGTCCATACATCGTTAGTGTAGCGTGAACCCCTGAGAACCTGCAAGTAGGTAGCCTTATAGCCAGATCCATTAGGATCTTCCTAAAAGAACACAAAACAAATAGTGTAAGTATACGATATCTCGTACCCCATATTAGATCAACCATGTCTACTCAAGTACCTTCTATCCCTCGAAGAAGTGTACATGAACACCGCAATCTACCTTCGATACATTACACTCTTAAATCCTGATCTTGACAAAAGTAAAAGTTGGCCAAGTGATGGAATCAGGAGATATGTCAATTAATCTTCCTTAGGCCGTGAATAGTTGGGCCTACTAATCACCCACTTTTCTAATACTACCCCATATGTGCAGTATCGTCTTATCGTAGCAAGAAATACCAGTCAAAATAGTGGACACTCATAACAACATTCCTAGCAACCCAAGATCTCTAAGGGTACACTAATTACCCTCCACCACTAGTGGTCATCGATAAGGACTCACACAGAGAGGGAGCAGGGATCCATCCCTTGACCTTCTTACATTTGGTCCAAGCACAAATCATATGACAACATGCTATAGTATTACTTCTCTCTTCATAAGTAACAATATAAAATACATACTGAACAAACCCCGTGATATGCCTGAGATCTCTTGACAAGCTCGCACCCCAAACCCCTAGTCTGGCTATTAGTACACGGTAAAGTGGATGTGGAATTTTCACTTTGGTCATGTCAATATATAAATACACAACAACTCATCTTGACCCATTCAAGGGGATGAATAAAGTACTCCTATTATTGTCATACCTAGTAATACAATAGTATTGTCATTGCTCCAAGCCAAATGACATCCGACACCCGGTCTCAACTTTGCCAACTGCCATAGCTTCGAAGGGGATCTCTTGTATGAAAAGAGATCCTACCTGCTAATGTAACCTTCTATTGTGCACCCATTGACCTTTAGTGATGCCCTATACACACCATATATAAAAATGCTTCATGCCGAAATAATCAAGCAATATTAAAATATAACTAATCCTAGCTATGCATATACATAAGAAAAAGACAATCAAACAAGCATAATATCTTATAAAGTCATCATTCTGTAATATATTTAAAGAATATGAGGTCTCAACTAAAATAAAAAGATTGTTATTAAAGACGTAGACTTTTAGGCTTAAGTGTGTTGCACTTAGCTATTCATAAGCTTTTCCCTTTATCAGTAGATCATTTATCATTTAACTCATAAGGATACACTCAACATGACCTCTTCCCTCTCTTAGTTCTTAATAAATTGGTACAAAACTAAATTTTATTCTATTTTTCAAACTAATTTGGTTCTTTCGAATAACCAACAACCAACATGTTAATGCAATAAAGAATCAATACTCCTCTATGTGTCAAGCTATAGCAAGATTCTCCAAGAATATGAATCGCTAGACTGCCTGATGTGCTACAGCCGAATTCTCTGAGAATTTGCAAAACGAGACTCCTTCTAGTGCTATCATGTATACCGCTGCATTATTATGCTCCAAGTAAAAAAGACTATATACTACTATTTATTACTACTCCATAAAATAGCCTTGTCATTTAGTAAGTAAATTTAACCAGAAGTCAACACTTGATCATCCATATTGACGGTCTAGTCGGCATCTAAATATATTCATAGACGTGTGTCCATTTTGCCAAAGCATAATGCATAAATATGGTCTGAATCAAATACTTATGATCCTCTTGACTCATCCTAGTGAGTCATACTAGGATTTGACTGATGCTTGCCCATCAATTCTATAGCAAAGGATGTGTCGGATCTTATGTGCATACATGACTATCAACTACACTCCAAAAAGGATAATTAGTATTCACTTCTTTTCTGGTTTAGTGTTGGTATATTGCTATAAAGTTAGAGTATGACTCTTGGCAATTGGAGTCCTAATAGTCTCCATGTTGTATCTAGCTAGCAATATGTTATCAGCATACGATGATAAGATCTCAAACTCTCATCAGCTATGTGTAGGTAGAAACAATTATCCTCTCGATCATTACAAAATCATAGACCGGTATGGTCCAATATAACCATGTAAATACTACACACTAGAATATTATTTCAAGGTATAGGTAGAGTTGTTTAATTTGGACACCATGTGCTCAAATCCTTTGGCTTTAAAGTATATACATCGATCCACATAGATGTCCTATTCTAGTTCTCCTAGAGAAAATCTCTCTCTAAATCTATTGGATTAGTTCAAGACCAATATGTGCTACAAGAATCAATCTTATGCGAACGGAGTTATTTCTCACCACTAGAAAATGTGTCTCTTCATAATTCACCCTACAACTTTAGGTTTACCTTTTCACCCCAAACGTGCCCTGCACTACTTTATTGTCTCATCCTGCTTGACCTTACAGATATGTTTGTTCTTAATGGTCTTGCATTCAGCGAGAGATCCACCAAGTCCATGACTTGATTCTTCCTTATGGACTCAAGCTTATCATCCATCATTGCCCTTCACTCTTTCACTTTAGATCAAGAAATAGCATCCTCTAATAGTTTGAGCTCCACAATAACAAATAGTGACGCCACAAATGTTTCCCATCAATATCAAAATATCATCCGGGTGCTAGTCCACGGGACAATCAATGAGGTAGTTGAGATTTTATAAATAGCTACAAGTCATCTAAAGGTATCTCATTCCCTTTGTCCCCATCTGGTAGAGGAACCATTCTCTTCCCTTGCTAGCTTTGGTACAATCTCCTAGATATCGTATGAATCCCAAGCTAATCTCGCAACTCTCTATGTCACATTCTTCTCATAATGTTCACATGTAAGAACCTCCCATATAGTGTTTGAAATTAATGTATAGACATACACTTCTTCCATCTAGGGTACAACTTCTCATACCAATGAGAAGCAGTGTAGGCGTGAGCATCACACTTTATGGATGTAGTGATCCAACACCGGCCCTCGGCTATCTATAACTCATAGAGTGTAGGCTATACTAATCTATAAAGTACACGGCTCATAACATATGTCACCATCAGTAACGCATCTTCCCGAAGCTAAATGGTATATATTCTGAACCATGTCTGGCAGAGTTGTATTTCACACTTTGCAATATTATTTTGTTGAAGAATATAGGTTATTAATCAGCTATTTGACTTTTCTCTTTTCTTGACACAATTCCTTAAACTGGCCAGATAGCTACTCTATTACGATTACTACACAAAGCTTTAGTGTTTTTGCTCAATTGATTATCCACCTTACTAATTTAGCACTTGATTTAAATCCAAGCCCTTAACTAGGTGCAAAATCAAAGACACATCATCGCAGATAGAGTACTAGCCGATAAACATGAGAAATTAATGTACTTCACTTGGTACCATAAAAAGTATTAGTCTGCATATATCAGAGTGTACTAATTGCAAAAGATATGCTCTTAGCTTTGCCAAAAGACTTCCTAGTAATTTACCAATGAGACTATACTTGTAGGTGGACAGGTACATCTTGGTACACGTAACTAGAAGGTCGCCCCTAGAAAACCCCTATGTGCTCTCAAAAGTGACCTAGTCTACAATACCATATATTAGATACAATCTTAATTTATGATACAAGATAAAGTAGAAGATAAACTCGGTTACCTAACAATGAGTCACACACTATAATAAAATAAGAGATTAGCTTGGCGTCTTATACGAAGTAAAAAAAAAATCTAATAATGTGAACCTAAGAAAGTCACTCATATGTGGGAAACTAATATGAATCCCATAAGCCTAACAACCGAGAGGCAATTCTTCAAATATAGTGGGAATATTACAAGAATTATTTGTTCCCTAAACTTTGAGAAAACCTATATTCATTTGTACCCATCACCCTTACATATTCTCCATCTAAATCTTTTTACTCCCATTTAGAATCATTTGCAACTCTACGAACTAGTCCCTACCCTGCAAATGTAGTCAATGAGTCCCGATTTTTCTCGGTATTGCGCCCTCATGCGTGACAAGATCAACTTGTCTGCGATAAAAATAATTTATCATACTCTTATTAGTTAGAATTTTCACATTTTAATTTACTTATTTTACTTCAAAACCCATTTTGAAAATCTCCTGGTGTATTCGCTGCAACTAGGCTCTTATCCTTTTGTCTCGGGTATTCAGCTATCAAAGCCGAAGTAAACATGTTAGCCTTGAACACACCTCAGTCTTTAGGCTGCAACTTCACTTTCATTTGCACATCCTTGAATGTTTCACATCTACGACATGTAATAAAAATAGTATATATCTTTCAAGGAGTTATGTAAAGCTCTGATAACCAACTAGATTTGTCGATCCTAGCTTAATGAAGTTCTAGCTACCTCATCATCCCTAATCTTAAAGGTTATCATCCAAATGTGAATTTGATATTAGCAGGCATATCTTTTGAATCCAACTTAATAACAAGAAATTAGATCCTTATTGAAGAGACATATCTGAATCTTATATTAATAGCATCTTGAAAGCTCTAAGCATTAGGATAATCTCCATACTCTTCAAAAAGATTGCTAATCCTTGCAGTCCATTTGGTGAACCTTTTGAACGATCTTCTTGCTTCTAGAACTTGTACTGACTAGTCATAAATCTTTGAGTCCAAGTTGAACCATGTTCCGACTCGGACATCACCACCTCAGTATTTACCAAAATCTTCGCTCTCAGGAGAAAGTAGATCTTCCAATATAGAGTATCTACCACTAATCAATTCCAGGCTAATATCGATATATTGGTACCTGGAGAGAAGGACGAAAACACTCTAATTATGGATACGTTAAGATTATTAGCATTTTATGTGGAGTAATTTTTCGTTTCTGAAGAACATTCCATCTCATCGAGCATTTTATTCTGATAATAAAATTTCTGCCAAACAAAGAGAAGAAGGCCTATGACCCCAACCACGGTGTTCAAATATATAATTTTTAAAATATTTATAATTTTTTTAAATATAATATTAGATTTCTTAGAGATAGACATGTTCAGAATACATATATCTTATTTTCAAAAAAAATTGATAAATCCCTAATTTATCAAAGGACAGTAGATCCCTGATTTATTATACTAGCCCACTAATTTCATAAAACTTGAGTCATTTTCATATATCTGACATCTTGCATGTCAAAGATTAGATTTTTAATACTAAAAAATAAAATTTTAATGAAAAATTGAATCTTTTCATAATAAATATCTTAATTTTCTATTCCGTGGTGAAATTCACCATCAAGAAACTTAACGTAAGATCCATATAACTACATACATAAAATAGGATTGATCTACTACACAAACAATGCATAGCAGAAAAAAGAAGAGCCCTAGCATGCATTAAGGAAAAGTAAATAATAAGCTTAAGGTTTACCAAACGGATCATTTTTGAAAAAATCGCCACTCAACAGGCAAGAAGCCTCTTGATATCACCCCACGACTAACGTGTCAATCACGAACTTGAAGGAGGAATAAGGAGATGACGGGTCACGATTATATATATATATGATTAATGGGTATCCTTGTCATAGGAGGAGATTTCCTTCCTTGTCGCCTATGTGGCACAATCCCCACCATCCTCATAAAGTAGGCACAAATCCCCACTAGCTCACACACTCTCTCCTACTTTATGAGGATTGTGCCACATAGGCGTCAAGGAGGAAATCCCCTCATATGACAAGGATACCCATTAATCTCTCTCTCTCTCTCTCTCTCTTTATATATATATAGGTGAAAACTTGTATCAACTTAAGTGGATAGGGAATAGTGTGTCCACCAAAGTTTTTAACCACTCATATTGCCTAGGGATCCTTGTATTATATAAAAATGTGTTTTATATTAATAAATGTGTAGCTACAAACTTTGGTGGACATCAACTTAAGTAGATAGGAGTCTTGCTCTATATATATATACAGCCTAAAGGAAATATAACTATTACAAACTAGAGATAGAATTCCTAGCA